CTGAAGAGAGAGAGAGAGAGAGGGGGGTGGGAGAGGAAAAGTCTTTGCTCTGATCAAAGAAACACAGAAGGTGTAGAATGCGAGAGGTCGCGTAACATCGAGTATTAAGGGAAAACAAGCCCCCTCCGTGAAAACTCGGATTCTTTGAACTTGGAAATGAGAGCGCGGCTCTCTTGGCCGTGTTAAAGCCGATGAAGGAAGAAACGAGGCGCAGTTTACGCCTTGATTAACGCCCGGCCGGCCTGTGATCAAAGCGTGATCAACCTACGGGAAGAAAGAAGAAATCGGGAAGGAAAACGTGCAAGTGACGACGCGACTTCGCTTCACTTCCCTACGTAGAATAACCTTCCTGCCAATTAATCGAATACATCAACTTTATTAGTTTATTTCAACGCCAAACACTGAATAAGGCAAAAATTAAGTTCTCAAAGACGAAAGTTAAGTTCCTCTCAGTTTTCGATAAATTTCTCTCTCTTTTTTTTTTTTTTTTTTTATTCAGGAGTGAGGAGCGTGGCTGTGCCAACGACAATGAAGAATTACCGATAATTCAAACTGACACAACTTCATTCAAAAAAGAGATCGTATAACGATCCACGGTTTCACTTTGAAGCGCCAAGCTTCTACTTTGACAACCCTGAGTTCGTTTCCCTTTTTTTTTTTTTCAAATATTTTTTTACATCGTGAAGCAGAGTAGGGAAGCGAGAATTCTCCTCGAAAATTGCCAAAATTCAAATTTTTCTTTTTCGCGATTAAATCCGAAAGCCTGCTCTTGAAGATTCAGATCGTCTCGTTACAACGAGCCTTTAAAATCCACTGTGCCATTTTATTCAACCTGGAACATCGGTGGATTCCAAGTATTTAGGACTTTTTGAATTTTTATCGTTTAACCGTGATCAACGTTCAACGTTCGATAAAATGGTGAAAAAAAGGAAAAAAAATTGCGCGACAAGTTTTGATGGCGGATTCCAGTTGCGAGAAAAATGTGTAGTTGCGAAACCATCGCGGCTTCAAGACGAAAATGGACGATGATGAAGCCGTGCGTGGTGATTTCCTCGTGGTGGAAACTGGTAAGGCGAGCTTCATTCGTCGAGGAACGAATTTCGGGGCGGGTTTTGATGGAGTACACACTCGCTACACCGCTCGAGCGTTGGTAATTTTTTGTTGAAGCTTGACCTGCTCTACCACGGGTGTGTTCGGGAAGTATGTTCGTTTTAGAATAAATATCGGTCATGCCGTAAGTAAAGCTGTGTACCCGGTGGAGAGTTGTTGCGTTCCTGCAAGTGGTGGATGCGATATACGTTTCTCAGAGAGCAAGGGCTGTTACATTTCTTTTTTCTCTTCTTTTTTCTTCCAAGAATAAATATCATACTCTTTTTGAAAGTTTTAAATCAGCCATGAATTTTGTATGATACGCGTTCTTTCGTTTCGCTGTGCTCTTCCAGCTGGAAGGAGCGTTCGAGACGAAGTGAGCTATTTTTTTCTTCTCTCTCTTTTTTTTTTCTATTTCTTGTTTCAGACACGTTTCGTTCAAGTGTTTTCAAATCTTCAGTTTCAATCCATTAAGGTTATCAGGAATTCAGGGATGTTGATTATTAATGTTGATCATGAGAAACGACTGCACGCAGCCGGGAAAATGTCGATTTTATACATCTATGTTTGGTGGATGAATAATTTTTCGCGAAACTGAAGGCGATGAAGTAATCATAAATACAAAAATCAATAATACAAATTGGCCGAAGAAGCAGTCGAAAATTTAATATAGAATATTAATATTTCATTTGGCTTTTAATGGATTGGAACTAAATAAACAAACGTCGGTAAATTGAATAAAGAAGGAAGTGAATGAAGCGCAAGAAGATCGATTAAAATGGACCAATCTGTCGCAATGCGTATATACGTTGTAGGATGTCCTTCAGGATATGCGATACCATCGGAGAGAAAGAGAGAGAGAGAGAGAGA